AGCTTTGGGTCCTAACACCTTTGGGCTTATGAAGCAATCAAGACAATCTGCCAAAGTCGCTTTTCAAGGATTGAAAGATTTTGTTAAATTTGGAAAATTTGCAGAGACAGAAGGTATCCAAGCTTCTAGTACTCCAATTGCTATAGTGGCAGAAGAACATATGACACCATCAAGGTCAAATATCAGTAGTTCGGTTGAACTCTCTGATTATGATGATGGTGATGATGATGATGATGATGACAATGATGATGATGATGATGATGATGATGATGATGATGATGATGACTCCGATGATAATGATGATGTGAATTTTCGTCTGTTCGTTCCACCGAAGGAGCCAGTCAATGAAGCTGTGATTACGAGACAGAGTCTATAATTAATATTTTCAAGCAACCGGATAATCCAAAACCCAAACAGATGGAAGCACTTATTAAAGAGTTACAGTCAACTGCAAAGAATCCTCCCCAAACAGTTTCTGTTACTTTTGAATCTCCATCTGAGAGTGATAAAGACGAACCAAATGCCTCCCAGATGCCAAAGAATCAAAGACGGAGAGATCCAAGGCCGGGAGTGCTTATTAGGGGTGAGCATTTGGACCGGACCGGACCGGACCGGACCGGCTCTTGGACCGAACCGGTTATGGAGAATATTGTGGACCATGGACCGGACCGGATGAGTCGTGTCCGTGTCCGGGTATGTTTCCGGGTCCAGGTCCGGGTTTTCCGGTTTTTGGACACGTTTGGACCGGTACAACTTTAATTGCATAGAGTATAAGTAATCTACATTGATGTATAATATTATAACTTGCAAAATTAATATGTTTCCATTTCATGCATAACTAATCTACATTGATGTATAATATTATAACTTGCACACTTAATTTTCCAAATAAAAGAAACTAACATATAAATCAAGTTCACCAACAAAAGTTAACAATTTTAAGACAAACATACAAAAGTATTACCGTAACAACAAAAATCATAGTTTAAACTTTAAAATCAATCAAACTAACAAACTTCATAAACTCATAATCTAATCTTCCATTGGCCTCTTCCCCATATCATTGCCATCAATATGTAACATATTTAAAGCTTGTGTAATCTCTACATAAACACAAATGAAAATGTTGTTAGTATTTAATAAAAAGTAATAATTGTATAAAAAAAGAACAAAGCTTGTAATTTTTTTACCCAAAGCTATATCATCATCGTTCATGATGTCATCAACGTTGTCAATTATCGGATTTGTAGACTTTCTCACCCAATCTTGGGTGCATAACAAAGCTTCAACTATCAACGTCGATAAACTAGTCTGATACTCACTTACAACTCTACCACATGTGTTAAACGCGGACTCGGACGCTACACTTGAGATTTGTATCGCCAATATGTCTAACAACAAATAATTAAATTGTAACAACATTAATTTATAAAGAAATTATGAAAGACTAAAAAAAAGTAATCACCTTTCGCCATCCGAGCAATTGTTGGGAACCTAATCGCGTTTACTCTCCACCACCCGAGAATTGAGAAATCTTTTTTATAATTAACTATATTCTCTTTCAAATAAGTTCGTAACTCGTTATCCGTTGGATCCGAGTTGCTACCCCCCGTACAAAGAAAATCACCGAAAAAATCGTTATCATCATCAACATCAATGACTATTTGACTAGCTTCTTGTTGAGATGATCCACCGTTGTCAAATCGTTCCAAGTAGGTCATAAATAAATTCTCCATCCTATTCTCAACCTCTTGGACCATTTGACGTGCTTTTATGTCTATGTACGCGGGGGTCAATGACGGTTCCATGTACCCGATCATTTTTTTAAAAGCATGTAACAAAAAAGGTGATTTGGTGGTAGGATCAAGTAAAATCGCAAAGTACATAAAATCGTTCATCTTGTTGTATGCACCCCAATACTTGTCGTATTTCGTTTTCATATCTTTTACCATATCGAGAAACATTGGTTTGGTTGACCACTTTCTTAGATGTATGTCCACATCTAAGACTTCCCGGATAAAAAGATTTACCAAAGGTTTTGATGTAGCCGAAACAAGCTTTGTTTTTGTTTTGAATTTTTCAAAGAATTTCACCATTTTGGCTACAACTTCAAAGTCATAATTTTCCGGTACTCTACCGAGATCCCTTTCATATGATTTATCTGTCAAAGATACATAAACAAACAAAATTAAACAAAATTATAGTCTAAACAAACAAATATTTCAGCTTTGATAGCTCTACTTTGAAGGATTGTAACTCAGTGAATATAATACCAAAATAAACAAAATTATAGTCTAAATTCATCTACAAACTGTAAACTAAATGTTAGAAAAAACCGGAGGTCAATCCGACTTAAAACGAATGAGTTATGAGTGTTTAAAAAACATCACAGAATACAACATCTTGCTGAAAAGCTGAATTTTTTCCAGCTTTGATAGATCTACTTTGAATGATTATAACTCAGTGAATATAATATCAAAATAAACAAAATTATAGTCTAAATTCATCTACAAACTGTAAACTAAATGTTGGAAAAAACTGAAGGTCAATCCGACTTAAAACGAATGAGTTATGAGTGTTTAAAAAACATCACAGATTACAACATCTTGCTGAAAAGCTGAATTTTTTCAGCTTTGATAGCTCTACTTTGAATGATTGTAACTCAGTGAATATAATATCAAAATAAACAAAATTATAGTCTAAATTTATCTACAAACTGTAAACTAAATGTTGGAAAAACCGGAGGTCAATCCGACTTAAAACGAATGAGTTATGAGTGTTTAAAAAACATCACAGATTACAACATCTTGCTGAAAAGCTGAATTTTTTCAGCTTTGATAGCTCTACTTTGAATGATTGTAACTCAGTGAATATAATATCAAAATAAACAAAATTAAATTCTAAATTCATCTACAAACTGTAAATTAAATGTTGGAAAAAACTGGAGGTCAATCCGACTTAAAACGAATGAGTTATGGGTGTTTAAAAAATGTCACAGATTACAAAATCTTAATAATCTTGCTGAAAAGCTGAAATATAACTTAAAAATAAATATTACCTCTTACGCCAAATTCCATAAATGCCTCTCGTAATTGATATGCGGACTTCAATAACTCGAAAGTCGAGTTCCATCGGGTAGGAGTGTCACCACATAGAAACTTCTTTGTTTGTAAGCCACAATCTTTCATCGCCTTCTTGAACTTGTTTATTCTTTGTGGTGACAATCTAATGTACCGTACCGCCTTTTGGATACACTCAACATGATAGTTTTAGTATTTTAGTCCATCCTTTACAATAAGGTTTAAAATGTGGGCCATACACCTAACTTGGAAATGCTTTCCACCCTCGTAAAGATTGGGCAACTTTTTGACCAAAAAGTCAATTGCCTTGTCGTTTGTAGCGGCGTTGTCTAAGGTAATGGTCATGACATTTTTCATTCCCCATCCACGAATACAATCGAGTAATTCTCGGCCCATATCCTCTCCCTTATGGCTATCTATCTCCCTAAAGTTTATAATTCTCTTGTGCATCATCCAATTCTCGTCTATGAAGTGAGCCGTGACCACCATGTAAGTAGTCCTTTGACAAGAAGACGTCCAAGTGTCCGTTGTCAAATGTATAGCGGTCTTTGGGTTACTTAAAAATTGAAGCATTTTGGTTCTTTCTTCTATGTAGAATTTGGAAACATTCCGGGATATTGTATGTCTAGATGGCAACACGACCTTACAATTAAGTGCATTGGTGTATTCCACAAAAGCCTCGTTTTCAACGAACTTGAAAGGTAATTCGCCTACCACAAAAAGGTTAAGTAATGCTTTTTTGATCCTTGCATCATCGTGTTTCCATGTTTTAACACTAGTATCCCCATTTGACTCCTTCTTTAGATTCAATTTGGTTTGAGTTGGATCTTGTAGCTTATTCGGGTTTTTTTGACACCTACCTACGTGTTTGAGTAAACTAGAAGTCCCGTTTCTTTCCACATCCGCCTTTAGTAGCCTTTCACACCAATGACATTTTTCATATCTTCTTTCGATACATCATCCTCTTTTATCATAACTTTATCAAATGTGTCCCAACAAGAGGATGTTTCTTTGCCACTAGTTTGTTTGTTTTTTTTGCGACTTGTTTTCGTTTTTCCATTTGTTCTTTTTCGTTTGTTAAAATTTGATTGATCATCTTTTGCCGAATCATCAACTAAATTGATTTGTGGTGTATCCTCAATAAATTCATCTTCATCAACATTCGTAACCTAGTTTACATATAGTCACAATAAAAATGTTTTCATAATTAATCAACAAAATATAACGACATACTTTATAACATTCAAGAAAAATTAACAAAATGCAACCAATTGTAACCCTAGTTTACATACAATCACAATAAAAACTTTTTCACAATTAATCAACAAAATATAGCAACATACTATATAACTTTCAACAAAAATTAACAAAATTCAACCAAAAAACATAACCTTAGTTTACATACAATCACAATAAATTTTTTTTGACAACAAATAACCTAAATATAACAACATACTTTATGACATTCAACAAAAATTAACAAAAATCAACAAAAAATCATAACCCTAGTTTACATATAATAACAATAATTTTTTTTTTGACAAGTATTCAACTAAATATAACAATATTCTTTGTTATTTCAACAAAAATTAACAAAAAAACAACCAAAAATCGTAACCCTTACTTGAGTTTCATCATCATCAAGTCCAATCCAATTAGCATTCCGGATTATTGATTCCATTACTTCTGAATCGAGACTTGAGTTTCACAGAAATCGATTTTCACTTGAATCGGCACTTGAGACTTGAGAGAGGGAGAATCGACACTTGAGAGTTGAGACTTGAGAGAGAGAGAGAGAGAGAGAGAACTGAGAAGCCGAGAAGGTTGAGAGAACTGAGAAGGAACGAAAACCTGAAATTTACATCCGACTTGCGACTTGAGAGAAGGGCTACGAGTCCGACTTGCGACTTGAAACTTTCAATGATCGAGTCGATGTCGATCTTTCTTTGCGTTGGTAATTGGTATGCTACGTACTGTTATGGGAAAGGGAACGTCAAGACTCAAAAACCTATTAATTTAATGTTAAATTTCATATATATTTTGCTTTCTTTTTAATAAACGGGAATTGATATTTAATTTAGTAAGAGAAAACTATAAGAAAAAGAAAATCAATTGGATTTGATATTTGTGTGCCAAATGGGCTTTTATGCATTTTTGGGTTTTTGACGTTAGATAAGGGAATCATACAGATGACATACGTAAACAAATCTCTTGTGCCAAATGTGCTTAATTTAAATTGATTTTTTTTAAACATGTCCAACCGGTTCTAAACGCGGTAAAAACCGGACCGAACCGGGAAAAAAACCGGACCGGACCGGATAGAAATCTTAGAACCGAGAACCGGCCCGGGGGTCCCAAAAAACGGTCTGGTCCGGTCCGGTTCACCGGTCCGGTCCACCGATCCAAATGCTCACCCCTAGTGCTTATCACTGAGCCAGTACAACAATCAGCTTCTATAGTTGAACCAGCCTAGGTTAATGAAGATGTTCAAAGCCCAATCTTTGAACCAGCCCAGGTTCATGAAGATGTTCAAAGTCCTATTACTGAACCAGCCCAGACTGATCGAGATGAACAAAGGCCAATATTTGATGAAGATTTCTTGGTTAATGAAGAAGTTTTCTCCTCAGGATGTTATTCTGCTCCACCACCTCCAGAGCACGATGCTGCATCTATTAAGCTAGCCAAACTTCTTGCATTTCAAGACTTTATTCCTCAGTCAAGAGGAAAGGGTATATATATTGGCTCAGAACAAGGAGGTGGTGAAGACTCTCAACAAACCATCTTTGAGCTCAAACAAGAGATACTAATTCTGAAACAAGAATCCATTGAAAAGGATCTGCTGATCGGGAAGTTGGATGTGAGAGTTTCGGAGCTAGAAAAAGATAATTCTCAGAAGAATAAACAGATCTCTGATCTTCAAGCCAACCTTGGCGGGCTTACAGCCTTCTACTTTGATCTCAAAGACAAACTATTTAGAAATTTTGGTGATGAATTAAAGATGTCTAGTTCTGATGATGGAAAAGCTCCTGAAACATCTGAAAGGGTGGTGATTAGATCCACTTCGGATTCCAACATTGATCAATATTTATCTTCTGGCCCTGCTACAGCTGAAGAGAGAAGGGAGATACACAAGAAAGTGAGTGTGTTGAAGAAAAATAAAATGCTTCTGATAAAGAATTCTGATCAGAATGCAACTGGTGATCAACCTCAAATGTTCATCAAAGAGGTTGGGAAAAGAAAATTTGTTGATAGATATGGCGATCGTTCAGGTATTTGCATGTGGGGATTTGAAGCTGACAAGAATATGTGGCTTATGAAACGGAGGAGCGGAAACATTGAATACTATGAGAAGAAGGTTGATTTTTTGTCTTGGACAAAATTTGATCTTGCAGAGCTAGTCCATGCTCCATTTCACAATCCTTCAAATGATCCCAATGCCTGGGCATTTAAAAATTTTCTAGAAGATAAATCGAGGCATAACTTTGCAGGCATGTCAACAGTGTCCTCATTCGTTAGGAAGGTCAAAGGTGTCATCGATACGCACACCAGCAAAACCATGGTAAACGTTATGTGGCCGCCTACTAAGAAAACAAAAAAGATTCCTCTCTCTCAGCCTATACCTGATGGTTCTTTGAATGCTCTTCAATTCTGGGTATATGATGAGGCAACAACAACTGTGGTGATCAAGACTGAAAAGGATCAGTTCCGTCTTGTTGATCCTAGGGATTTGCTAAGACTTGGCAAGCATGACATTCAAACTTTATCCAGGAGTCAGCTTATGGTGCAAAATGAAATGTTCGAGGCTGCTGCGAAAGAATTAACCGGCATGATCGCGAAGATTATTGATCAGAAGTTGTGGGTAGGAGCTTTAGCTGCATCTGATGTTCATCTTGTAGAGAAACCATAAAGCTAGCCAACAATAAACCAAGGGGGAGATTGTTGGGTCATATTTTTGTGGTTGATCCTGGGGTTATATTGTTAATTGTTTTTGGGCTTAGAATAGTACTTTTTTGATAGGCTTATTATGTTTTCGGTTGTAAGGACCGAAATCACTGTGATGATTTCGGTCATGATGGGCTTGGGCCTTTTATAGTGTTGTACTTGGCATATATATATTGTTTCCAGCCGTAGGAGTTGGTAGTTGTTCCATTCTTTTGTTCACGACTGCTTTGAGTTCTTATGTACCAGACGGTTTATTGATAATAGGATCGGGTGCATTTGAAGCTACTTTGTGTGTTCTTGAATCATTACTTAATTAACATTCCACATTCTTTAAGCAATTAAGATTGATATTGCATAAGATCAATAGTTTTGGGACTTACAGTTGTTGCTAAAGTTTTGGTTGGACTATCCGTCCTTTAGACTCCGAGATCTAAGCGTGATATCACTTTTAAGCAAGCGGAGTCATTGATGTTGTTGGGATACAAGAAGTTTTAGCTGGTTTTCAGGAGTTGTGTTGTTTTAGGAAGGGTTACTTATGGTGCACTAGTTTGGTAGGCATCGGTCGTCAGCAGACTGATCATTGGAACGTAAGAAGGATTGGGAATCCTTCAATGTTCATGTGCCAAGAGGACTTAGTTGAATCTAAGTGGGGGAGAGTCGTCCAAGTATCCAGGACAAAAGCAACGGTGAAACTAGGATGCATTTCACATCCCCATTGGGGAAGGGAAGGCGGTCGTAGTGGCTGTCTGAATGTTGGGTTCTGCGGGTGGGGAGTTCGGGAAACTCCTCAGCATCTGGATTGCATCTTCTAGACGACATATATCAGGCTTTGGGGGAGGAAACTAGGTTGGGTTCCAGTCAGTACTTGGGTCCAGTTGGGAGGTTAGACCGTGTGAGTGTGTAACATTGAGATGTGATCGGATTAGTAAATTAGTGGTAGGATCATGGGTGCCGGTTGGGTTAGCTGGAAGTGTTGTAAGTCTGCGGGTGTAGCCGTAGCATTCACGAGGTTATCAGATAGTGTTGGAAGTGTTGTAAGTCGGCAGGTGTATCCGTAGCATTCACGAGGTCGTCAGATAGTGTTGGAAGTGTTGTAATTCTGCGGGTGTAGTCGTAGCATTCACAAGGTTATCAGATAGTGTTGGAAGTGTTGTAAGACTGCAGGTGTAGCCGTAGAATTCACAATATTGTCAGATAGTGTTGGAAGTGTTGTAAGACTGTGGGTGTAGTCGTAGCATTCACTAGCGGCCGGATAGCGGGGGAAGTGTTGTAAGACTACGGGATAGTCGTAGCATTCACGGATTCATTCAGATGATTTAGGCCAGGGAAGGCCAGTTCGCAAGGTTGTGGGTAGGCCCCAACTTAATTAGAATCAGGAAACAACAGGTCGTTAGAGACCTGGGATGAGGTAAGACTACAATTATTCTGGTAGCACTCACTTTTCGCATTAGATTTGAAGTCGACGGATTGTCGAACTATTATGATCAGATGCATCAGAAGGTTTGATAGAGCCATGAGTGGCGGTATAGCTAGGGAAGTTATGACTAGACCAAGTATTCTTCGGAGGTCGCGTGGGGGCGAGTGTGAGGTTGCCCGTTGGCTCAGCAATCGGGCAGGGATCCGGTATTTCGGATATGGGCATTCTGCATCTGGTTATGGTAAGTGAATTCATTCAGGGGGCAACATCGAGATAAGCAAGACTAGAGATGTTTTTCGGTCAGTCATTCCTAGAGGAAAATTGTGCAATACAGGTACAGCATGGACGGTCTGTCGGGGAGTCAGACCAATGTAAGGTGTCAGGATCTAGGAAGGAAGAGGTAGTTTTCTGCTTGAGACAAAGGAGTTATCCTTCATCAGAATTGGGGAAGGTCTGGTTTGGATTGGTTCAGTTGCCTTGAGGAGGCCATTGGACGGTCGGGGTGACAGTTGTGTCCCACGAGATGTCGGGGGTGGTATTCGTTGGGTTCAGAACGGGTTACCGATTATTGGTAAGAGTTGGATACTCAAGTTTTATCAAGGATGAAGTATTCTCAAGGCTTCGACTTGAGGGGTGACACCGGTTCGAGAAGCAGGGCTGAAGGCCAGGTATAGTGATTCGGTCAGAATTTGGCCCAGTTGGGCAAGGTGATGCATCGCGTAGAACGGTGGTGGAAGCTCATACTGATTCATAGTGCATACTATGTATCAGCCACGAAAGTGTTTGGACGATGACTCTACTGTACTTTCTTATAGTCGATATTCAGGAAAAGGAGCGTCTGAATGATGGGAGGAAGTTAGTGCTAGTTATCGAACAGAAAACACAGGCCATAAGGAGGTGATGTAGCAAGATTAGTGAAGGTGCAATGAGAATCAATAGTCGGGTCATAGTAGGTAATGGAAGTTGCGGGCGTGACACGTGAGCAACGGCCGGAGGAGGAGATAAGGAAGCATTATCCAGACCCTGTGCATCAGCAGACTTCGAGGACGAAGTCTAGTTCAAGTGGGGGAGATTTGTAACGCTTGGTTTAGGTATTGGTCAGTTTTCAACAATTTTAGAGTTTTGGACTGGGACTCGACGAGTTGGGGAGCTCCAACTCGTCAAGTAGAGATCATTTTGGACGCGGGATGAAGGATCTACTCGACGAGTTGGAAGGCCCCAACTCGACGAGTAGACACTGGGAAGGAAAACCCAAATTTTCAGGTTTTGTACCCTATTTATAGGCCTTAAGCCTCACTTGTAGCCTCCCTTATCCCCCCCTTTGTCCAGAGAAACCCTAAATCGTGTATCGTCTCCCATTTTGTGTGTATATGAGCTTGGAAAGTGATTATTGGTGCTCTTTTGGAAGGAACTTGAAGCTTGAAGAGGTTGGATTGAATGGAAAGCAGTAGATCCAGGATTTCCTCCAGTGTGGCAACCATTTTAAGTTATAAAGTCGAAACCTTGACCTTCCATTGCTTAGATCTCCTTCTATGAAAGTTTATGGCCATTATTAGCCTAGTTTGGTACCATTCTTGGTTTTTAGCATGATATTGTTGGGTTTTGAGCATTCTAACACTCTTATGGTGTACATGCAACCCTATAAACCTTAGATCTATGTTTTCTCTATTATACATGCAAATATTAACTATTCCAAGGTTTCATCCTAACTAGCATATTATGAAGCACCTATACTACAAAGTTCTAGTTAGATGACATACCTTTTGATGTAGCTTGATGTCTTCAAGCTTTAAGAGCTTAGCCCCAATAGTGTGGAAGCCTCAAATGGAATCACAAATCACCAAAACACCTTGGAAGAACTTGAGAGAATATGTATGCACACTAAAATCGGCCCACTCTTATTTTCACACACTTGTGCCAATTTTGTGAGCCAAGGACCCCTTTATATATTATAGAGGATTAGGGTTACATCCATGTAAACCCTAATACCCATGACCTTTCATTTACATAGGATCCATGGGTTAAAAGCTCCATGGACCATCCATGAAAGCTTAGCCCAACCTAAATGAACTTGGGCCATTCCATATATATAAGAGTCCATATTTAATTAGTTCTTTTTGATCACTTAATTAATTCTAAATTAATTCTTGATCAATACTAATTAAATAATATGATTCCATATTAATATATTAGAACTTATAATATATTAATATAAATCATAAATATACTATTCTCAAAAGACTATCCATATAAATTGTGCCGGTGAAGTGCAACCCAAATGGACCATGCCGGGTCGGGTCAAGTACATACCAAATATAGTTATGGACTTAGACATTAATCCAACAGTCTCCCACTTGGATAAGTCTAAAACTATTATTGAGTATGACTTCAAAACCTAACTGGCAATCGTAGCTCTTAAAGCCGCTGTCGAACTCTGACCTTGTCAATGACTTGTCCATTAGATAAGGGATCATATATTCCTCCATTCTAGATATCATATGGACTGAGACATGGATTATAATCATTCTCTCTGTCCATTTGTTGTTTCCTGATTTTCGATTTATGATGACTGACTGATTGAACAAATCAAATCAGTCCTGGCTTGGCCAAGCACTCACATGTGTCATCGCTAAATCATCGAGGGGCCCACAGATATCGCTTTTATCCCGAAGGTAAAAGGAATGGATAAACTTTGACTCATATGGCTTGTTCTACTACTTGTTGAATCATACACAAAGGCACGTTTTATAACATCGAGTTACGAAATGCGTTTTCGTGCAATCAATGTATAACCAACTCATAGTAACAACTCATATCTCTAGGTTTGAAGAATATAAGATATTATCGTCTCATGATCACTCGTGATAAAATCCATGAAGTGATTCAAATGAGCGTGGGTTGAATCCAATACTCAGAACTTATGAGCACTCATGAGTGTTGTAGCACCACTTTGTCCACCAACTTGGACCTCTACAAACCAACCCATGACAGTCTTGATTCATATCTACTTCCAACATATGACCGACTGTGGATGGTTTG